AAACCCATTACAGAAAATGCACTTGTTTTACGCACTAAGTCAACTGCAACTTTTTCGAATACAACGACGTTTCATACATTGTGTACAACAATTACTCCTACTGGTACAGAGCTAAATGAACATGTCTCATCATCAGTACAAGAAGGACGCGTCCGAGAGTATGCCTTCGACGACGACTTAGACAAAGTCATAGTCGAAGAGGTTTATTAAACATCTTTCATTTATTCTATTAAGTTTTGTTTAGAATGCTTTATGGCAATGATGACCTTTATAATCATACTCATGAGATATGGTGACAATGAAGATTCTGATAATAAAGCAAACCAACAATGTAAATGATGACAGTAATGATGGTGATATTGTTGACAGAAATTATAATAGCTATGCAACTGGGAACTATAGATAGACTTAAAACTGCAACTAATTAGGGTGAAAATAATAATTATTGGAGCAATAACAAAAGATACATGATTTATGAATAAATGAATGATGATGATGATGACTGTTGAAAATATAATATTAATAACAAAAACAACAATAATAAAAATAATGATAATAATGATAACAATAATATTAATAATAATAGCAATGATGATGATGATAATAATAATGATAATAATAATAATAATAATAATAATAATAATAATAATAATAATAATAATAATAATAATAATAATAATAATAATAATGATAATAATAATAATGACTATAATGATAATGTTTATATTACTAATAATAATAACAACAAAATGATAATAACAACAACAATAATTATAATGATAATAGTAATAATAATAATTAATATAACTATGATGATGATGATGTTGATGATAAATAATAATAATGGTAATAACAAAATAATGGTAACATCAACAACAGTGAAAAAATAAACATAATATTAATAACAATAACAAAAATGATAAGGATAAAAATAATAATGATAATAACAATACCAATGATTATAATGATGATAATAATAGTAATAATGATAATAATACTAAAAATGATAGCAATAAGAAAATAAAAGCAAACAATAATAATAGTATGATAGGAATAAAATGATAAAAACAAAAATAATAATAACAATAATAATATTGATGATAATGAAAACAACGGTAATTGTAACAATATTGATACTGATAATAATATTATAGTAAAGATTATGATGATGATGTAATGAAGATGACGACAATGATGATATCAGTAATAAAAAAAATAATAACAGCAGCAATAAAATGATGATGTTCATGATGATGATAATAATAAAAAAAGTAATTATGAGACAATAAATGAATGATGATAATGATAAAAAACAATAAAAGTAGTAATACCGATGATGAATTTAACAATAATGATGATAATAATGTTAATGATGATGAAAATAATAGCAATAACAATAAAAATAATAACAATAACAAAATAATGATTATAATAATAAGTATAATAATAATCATAACTATAACCACAACACATGAAAACAATGATAATGTTATTACTACTGCTACTAACAACAGCAATAATGATGATAATAATAACGATGATGATAATAAAGAAGTAATAATAATAATGATAACAAAGATAATAACAACAATGACAATAATGATGATAACAATAAAAATATTATATCATTGTTATCATCATCATCATTATCTTTATTGTTGTTATCATTTTCATGAATGTCATACTATTACCACTATCATTCACTGTTATTATTAACATTATCTATATCATTATCATATCATCATCATTATCCCTATCATCCTCATCCTCGGCCACGGCAGTAACATCGTCATCATTATTATAATTATAATTATTATTATGATTATCGTTATTATCATTATTATTATCATTATCATTATTATCATTATGATAATTATTATTGTTATTATTATTATAATCATTATTATTATAATCATTATTATTATTACTATCATTGTTATTATTATTTTTATCATTTTATCATTATTATCATAATTACTATTATTATCATTACTGTCATTATTATTATCTTTATTAATATTGATATGATAATTTTCATTACCATCAGTTCTATATTTTTATTATTGTTAATAGCATTATTATTGTTGTTATTATATTTTTTACTATTATGATCACGATTATCATCATTATTATCGTTATTATTAGTAGTAACAGTATTTCCATCATCATTATTATCATTATTATCCTTTCCAATATCATTTCTATTTTCATAATTATCATCATAATTGTAATTTTATCATCATTGTCAATATCATTATTATCACTATTATTATCATCATAATAATAATGATAATAATAATTATATTAATGATTATTATTACTGCTGTCATTATCAATATCATGAATGTCATTATCATTATTATTATTATCATTACTATTATTATCATTATCATTATTTATATCATTATTATTAGTTTTATCATTGTCATAATTATCCATATTATTATGATTATCATTATTAGCTTTGTTATTATACCATCATTATCATTAACATCACCATCACTATCCTAGTTAATCATTACCATTGATAGTATCATTATCATTATTATTATTATTATTATTATTATTATTATTATTATAATTATTATTATCATTATCATTATCATTATTGCTACTATTATCATTATTACTATCATTATAATTATCATCATTTTTATTATTACTATTATTATCATTATCATCCTCATCATCATCATTATTATTATAACTTTATAATAATAATAATAATAATAATAATAATAATAATAATATTGATAATAATGATGATAATAACAATAATGATGATGATAATAATGATAATAATAAGTATAACAATAATAACAACAATAATAATCATTACCATTGTCATTATCAAAATTAGTATTATCCCTATTATAATCATTATAATAATGATAATAATAATAATAATAATTATCATCATTATCATTATTACAATTATTATTATAATTAATATCATTATCATCATTATCATTACCATCAATAATCATCATATACGTAATTGCTATTGTTTTCATTGTTATAATTATCGTCACCATTACTCTTCATTTACAATAACTGCAACAACAACTATAATAATAGTATTGATGACTATAATTATGTTAACAAGAGTAACAATAAAATCTAAAATGACATTAGCAATATCAAAAGAGGCTTTGATTAAAATAAGAGAAAAACATTTAATACTAATGATATCATTCATGTTGGCGTTGTTCCTGCTCCTTTACTTTCTTAAATATTACATTCATTATCATTATATTCATGATCACCTGTTACCACTATCCCATCACATTTTATCCTTATTTATAGTTAAATAGCTATGAATTTGTCACGGTTACAACATACCAAGAAGGTCATTTATTTTTTTCTCTGCCACAGCTGTATCTATTGCAAAAAATCGTAAAATACTTGTAATTTTATAACTACAGTAATGTTAACTTTAGGAACAAGAGCAGCGTTGACATTAATTTTGCACTGTATAATCTTTACCATATATTCATGCAATGTATTTTCTGTTTTTACCAGTGTATGTTTATTTTTTTTTTTACGTTCACTTTACTAAAACATGTCTTTTCATAGTATTGTTTCGGTTTCAACAATATGCATATGTTACAGTAATACTCATATCAAGGCAGTCATTTTACCATGTTAAGTAGGATAATAGTTCAAACTCAATAAATAAATAAATAAAGCTTGTAGCAGTTCTTGAAACAGTTTCGTCTTATGTAAAAATATTGTCAACATACTTATTTCATCATTGTTTGACTTTTCTATTATTTGTCATTATTATTAGTACTATCATCAAAATCATTATTCTGATTATTACCTTTGGTATTACTGTATTATTATTATTAACATTAGTATCTCCGTTATTATTATTGATATTACTGTTATTATCATTATTATTATTATTATTATTATTATTATTATTATTATTATTATTATCTAATTATCCTTTGCTATTATATAATTATCATCATCATTATTATTACAATTACTATCATCATTGTTATCTTACTATTTGCGTATTGTTATTATCCTTATCGCTATTTTTATTATCATTATTATTATTATCATTATTCTTATCATACATATTGTTATTATCATTACTATCATTCTTATTATTACTACTTTTATTTATAATCATTATCAACATTATCTTTGCTATTATCATTATAAGTATTGCTATCATTATTGTTATCAATATTAATATCAACAATATCATTATCATTATCAAAATGATTGTCATTATCTTCTGTCGTTATCATCATTATCATTACATTTTTATCTTCATTATTACCATCATTATCACTATCATTACTACTATTATCATTGTCATCTTTGCTACAATTCTAATAATTATTATCATTATTATTTATCATTACATTACTATCATCATTATCATTAATATTATCATTACTATTTCAATTATCGTTATTGTTATTATAATCATCTTTATCATTATCATCATGATCATTAAACATAAAAATCATAGTTATCCTCATTATCATTTCCATCATCACCATTATTAACATTCCTGTTATTATCATCATCATAATTTTAATCATAATCTGTATTATTCTATTATCCTCATTATTATTATGATGATTGTTATTATTACCGTCATCATCATTAACATCAATATCATCATTATCAATATTAAGCATCACATCACCACTATCATCCTGATAGTTATCATTATTGTTATCATTATCTTCTACTGTTATAGTTACCATTACTATCATTGTTCTTATTACTATCATTATCATCTCCTCCCAATACTATTACTACTATTTCTATCATTATATTTACTTCTCTGCTGTTTTTATTATAATTGTCGTTGGCATTATTATCATTACTTTTATCATCAGTATTATTTACTATTATCATATCATCATGTTCATGTCCTTTATCATTGTTATCATCATTATGTTTACTATCATTATTGTCATCATTGTAATAATTACAATTATCATTATCATTGTTATTATTATCATTACCATTGATAATAAAAATGATTAGATTATCTTTATTACCATTATTCCTAATATCATCATAATCATCATCATTATCATTATCACTATTGTATTTATCATTACTATTTTTATGTATGTCAAGAGTACCACTAGCATTATTATCATTAACATTATCATATCCATTATCCTTATTGCTATCATTATCATTATTGCAAATATCATTATTACGGTTGTTATTGTTATTACTATTATCATTACATTTTTTTCATTAATACTATTATCACTCCTGTGATAACAATAATAGAAATAATAACAACGATCATAATAATAAGAATGATGATTATTACCACTATCATTATTTATATCATCATTATTACTATTATCATTTTATCATTTTTTATCATAATCATTATCATTATCATCAATACCATTATATTTATCATTCCTATGTTTATCAATATCATCACCATTATCATGCTATTCTTATTTTTATTATTGTTATTATCATCATCATTTTTATTATTATCGTTACTATTATTATCATCACTATCATTAGAACTGATTATTATCCTTTCCATCATCTTTATCATTATCATCATCATTCTTCTAACTTTTTTTTATTATTATCATTATTATTACAAATACTACTATTATCATTATTATCACTGTTATTTTTACAATCATCATCATTACTAATATTATCATCACCATCATGAGCATCATTATCTATTCTATCATTATTGTTATGCTGTTGCTTATAACCTTATTCTTATCATTATCAATATCATCATCATTGCAATCATCACAGCAACCATTACTGATATTTATCTATCATAATTTTCAGAATTGTCATTATGCCTTTCAAATGATTATATTTACTATTATGATATTTCATCCTCGGCATTTATACAGATATGATTCGAAAGGTTTTGATTATAATTGAATCACTTGGCCTGGTCATTAACATAATTACTATGTTAATAACCTTTGTATAATGATTAGCATATCAATTCTAAATAGCATCCCAAGCATCATGCCTATCATTAATGTTAATCATCATAATTTTTTTCTGCCACACTGAATTACACCCATAATAATAAAATCATTTCTGAAAATAAAAATTCCCCGACAGAAATATTCTCTCCCCCCAAAAAAACAATTAGATTCCCCTACTAATTAACTTGACTAATATCCCAATCCCCCCCCCCCCCGCGTGAACTGCCAACAGCCCCTCCTCCTCCTTTCGGAAGAGCACCTCGGACGCGCCTTCTTCAGCAAAGTGCAGATCTCTCGGACTGGTTAGAAGCGCGTGGTAAGAACGTGGTCTCTACTGACACGTAGTAAACACACTTGTCTTTTGGAGAGCGGAAGAGAGACAGACAGAGGGAGAGAGAGAGAGGAGACAGCGAGCAACCTCACCTTTTGTTGAACTCGCCCGAGAAGTGCTGGAGCGAGTCCTCCTCGATGAGGAACCGCATTTTCTCGAAGAAGGAGGCGGTCGATCCCGGAGGCTGCTTCCGGAGGAGGATGTCCATCGGGGTGGAGCGGCTGACGCAGAGTTGGGAGTCCTGGCAGGCTTGCTGGGTGCAGCACTCGGGGTCCTGGCAGTCCATGAGGCCGTCTGTCGGGGGAGCAGGCAGGTGGTGGTGGCGGTGGCGGTGAAAGAAAGTGGTGGTAATGGGCAGGGTGGTGGAAGCAGTGGGGATAACAAGAGTATATTCCATGAGATATGGTAAACTGGATGCCAATGGCAGCCGTTAAATGCCATTGATAAATATTTTTTCTACTCTCTTATGCAAAATCTGTTAGCTGGAATTACGTTTCACCCTTTTCATGTATTCATTTTCAGTCAATCAAACAATAACCATTACCCTTATCATTTCTTTGGTTGGGCATCTTTCATCATACGCAGACATAACATCATGCTTACAAACAATAAACTTGTTGCATTCATCCTACATGATAATGATGGTAAACCTAGTAAAAGGTAGACCAGACGAAAGAGAGAGAGCACAAAATACACAAGAGCGCCATCTTTTAGATTCTATAGTAATTACAACTGAAAAAATACTACTTCTAACTCCACCTAAGAACAAGTGAAAAGTTATAAGTGGAATTAATAATAAATTCCTAGTCTCTTAAACAGAAAATTCAGGTCTTTTTTTTTCTTTTTAGAGAGAGAAGAGAGAGAGAGAGAGAGAGAGAGAGAGAGACGAGAGAGAGAGAGAGAGAGAGAGAGAGAGAGAGAGAGAGAGAGAGAGAGAGAGAGAGAGAGAGAGAGAGAGAGTCAGAGAGAGAGAGAGAGAGAAGAGAGAGAGAGAGAGAGAGAAGAGAGAGAGAGAGAGAGAGAGACGAGAGAAGAGAAAGAGAACGAGAGACGGAGAGAGAACACAGAGAGAGAAGAGAGAGAGAGAGAGAGCGAGAGAAAACACACACAATCACCAATTCACGAGAGAGAGGAGGAGGAAAGGGAGGAGAGAGAGAGAGGAGAGGAGAGGAGAGAGCGGAGAGGAAGAGGAGAGGAGGG